AATAATATACTATAGAGAATAAAAAAAAAAAAATAAAAATAAATAATATACTATTCTTTCCATTCCTGGGAAAAAATGAAAATAAAAATTTCAACCAATGTTCTAACAAAATGAGTCATTTAGTAGAGAAGTAAACGAAACTGTAATTATTTATTAAAAAAATGTTTACTTTTTACGTAATGCCTGAAACAAACGCAAAGCTTCGGATTTATCACCAATCAGAGAATTCAAATCTAGTGTGCTTAATCGAAGAATATCTTCTCCTACAATAATATAAAGTTGATTTAAATGAAATCTATTAATTTTTACTGAATTATTTGCTTTGAAAAATAATAAAGACTGCAAAATACACGAAGATTTATATGTTTTCAAATGGAAAATACCTTTAAGCTTGAGACATGAAAAGTTCGAATACACTAGTTCAAATACCGTTGAGCAAATGGATTTCACAATATAGAGATACAAAGATTATATCTAGTATAGTTTGTTTAGCACTGTTTCTTTCGTCAGGAAAGCAAATTAGATTTCCAGAATGCCTACTTTTCGATTACTGTAAATTATGCAATATTGTAAAACAACTAGCGAATATAAAGCAATTATTCGAAATTAAAAGCCAAACCACTGTAATTGTTAAAAATATGAGTGCAGTTGGTAAAACGATGTGATTCCAGCCATTTCATAACAAAAGCCGCTGAATGACTAGCACAAATGCGCACTTCATTAATTTCTGCTTCAGTTACTGAATTTTCTCGTGAATAAATACTATCCACCGATAAATTACAATGCCTTTTCGATATCACTTGCTCCATATCATCAAATGCAGTCGCAACACGTAGAAGTTTACTCCTTCCTAATGAAGCTCCAATGTATTCGACTTGTTCGGTAGGAGTTACTCTTTCTTCACTATCTACATCATAATCAAAATCTGCACCCAATAAGAAAGTATAATCATACGATGGCTGATATTGCTCCTGCAAATTTATACAATATTTGAAAAAATGACGTGTACCAAAGATTTTAAAGATTAGCCTACACTGGATAACAATCATTCTTAGGACATAGGTACATTCTGAAGGAAGAACTTCTGAAAATAAATTTCAGCAGTAACATCTACCGATTCGACCTGCCTAAATTTAATCTATTTAATCTGTTCAATACGATTTTTCTAAAGATTCCAACGTATCCTTTTCAAATAAAATTATACTATTGCCTGCGACTATTACCAATATTTTCTTCACTGATCATCAATAAATGACAACACAATAAGGAAAAGAATCTACCTGATTCGCATGCAATGTTGCTTTCTTTCGTTCTGTTCTTCTCTTCCTCTCCGCACCATGAAGCTATAACAGAAGATATACTAAATTCAATTCAACTCGATAACATATTTCTCACAATTCAAGAAATTTTGGGGACATTTATTAAAATGCAAAAATTAACCTTGAAAATTTGAATAAGCGAACTATTTTGCTGCAAAAGTTCTAATGATCTGTATGAATAAGTTTGGAAAACGAGTCGAAATGGTTCTCCTTTCTCACCGCAGCTATCTGTAACCATTGTATAGCTTAAACATTTCAGAGGTAAGCAAAAAGAGAAGTGTAAAAAGCTGATCAAAATCCTATAATGTTATTCATTGGATTTGAAGCAATTTTTTTTTCTTTGTCAAACCAATCATTTTTTAATTAAGAAAGTTTTCGGTGTATCTACGAGGTACCGAAGGTAGTTGAACAGAATTATTAAGAACAGAACGACAAAAGAAGAGGTTATACATAATGACCACTTTTATTATCGAACGATTCGAATAAAATGGAATTAATCAAAACAACAATGCTATCTAGTAACATAATTAGTTTTTTTTTAATGATTGAAAAGCTTATCGCAAATATATTATACATTCTGTTTTAAAATAGCAATCCTTCTTAACAGTTATATTCAACTGCATAATTTATGAATGCCATTTCAGCGTTAAGGAAAGCTAATGTTTTTCGCTACTGAACAGTATGAAGTTAGCTAGGCATTTGATAGAATATTTTACCAACAAAATCCGAGCTTAAGACGAAAAATTTGATAAACAAAGAAGCATTTGGTAGCGAACCATCCCATACAAATTCAGCTGAACGTAACGCATATTTGACTTGTGATACATTTGAACAGCGCGGCATATCTAAATAATAATTAAAATTCGATCATGAAAATTAATTTAAACTTGCCAAAAAATCCCATTCTTATTGTTCAAGATGGCCATTTTAGATTTCATTTAAATCTCCAATATGCTGATCTTGTTCTGAACGACATTCATATTGAACTTGCCTAATGTGAAGAAGCGTTTTCCTGGATTTTTCGCCTTCCATATTTCCATTAAGTCGTTCATCTGGTAGCGCAACTTTTTGCTGTCGAAACAAATGGTTATCACTGTCTAGACATAATTAAAATGAGTAGTTCGTTATCCAGAAATACTTTACGCGCATTAGGCGCAAAAGAGTCACTGTCTTTTTTTCTGAAGAGAGAAGGAAGAAAACTTTTATAAACAAAGTGTAGACGAACAGAATAAGTTTTTAATGCATAAGAAGACAAACGAAATAAATTTTCATGTTTGCTAATGCAGAGACTCGAAGTTACGTCGAAAAGATAGGTCAGACTGAATGTCAGATCATGAAAAAAAAAAAAAAAAACAACTAAAAAAGTGTATGATCAATTTCGAATTTTAATATTTAAATGTTTCGACCAACTTTGTAATATGAATCCTGTCCATCGGAATATGGTTCAAGTGCACATTTACGACATTTAATTTCATACGGTCGATTTTGATTAAGAAATGTTACTGGTTGTTCATGTAATGGTATTGCAGCTGAAGTTGGTGCCATCAGAATGTATTCCAACCTACAGGACAATATATCAGTATATGTATATATAGATATTTTAAATGATCACTATCTTTCCTCATTCTTTTTTATGTTTTGTCGATTACTGTAATTTGCTGTAAAATTAAGCAGTAATCTTACTAATCTGAAAAAAGGGATGTTAATTGCTTAATAATTTTGTGTTAAACAATAATGCTTTTCTTCAATATTTTTTAAAAAATTAATGTTAAAATAAATGAATCATTTCTCATTTGAATTTTAATAAATGTGACCTAATTATCTGATTCTTTAAATAAATGTAACCTAATTATTCGATTCTCATGATTTTAGCTCAAATACAAAATATTTCATAGAAATAGATTTAATTCAAATAAAATATTTCATCTCAATTCAACTAACATTTTCAAATAATTCTTTCTAATCACATAAAAAAACACATCAAAACATCTTCTTAATATGAATGAAAGCATGATTATCAGTTATTAGTGGATATTATTTTAAAGAAAAAATAAATAAAAAAAAAAGAAAGACAAACATAGCAGTTGCTGCAGAAGAAATATTATGCCACGTGGTGTTACGTGAAATTGTAGTACTATCCGTTGACTGCCAAATACTTTCATCGTCATTCTCATGTGAAGGTCCCGGCAGAAGATCACATGCTGATAACATTACAACAAACCTAACAATCAAATATTATTTAATATTTTATCTTAACCATTTCGTGTCTTAGTAAATTTATCAAAAACATTACTCAACAGTTCGCTTTTTTCCACGAATCAAGAAATAAAAAAACAATACATTTCTATTACTTTTCAAACATTTGAAACCTTAAGTCTCTCATATTGGAATACCTTCTCTTATGCTGGAATCTGTTGCAAACAAGAATAATCAAATAACACTAATAGTTTTTATATGTCTAGTATTCATTGTCGAGCAATTCATACTACTAAACTAAAATTTAACTGACCAATAGCAATATTCCACATATTAAAGTCTTAATCGGTAAACTCCAACCATCAATAAACTCCGGAAAAAAAATCCTAACCCTTTTTTTTGTATATTTTTTTTTATATTTAAAATTTTGTATGTTTAAAAAAATATTTAAAAATTTTGTATATTTAAAAAAAAATATAACTTAGCACATATTCTTGCTTTTCCTATTTCATCACAAAATCCATTGATCTCGGAAATACAAGAGCCAAGCGGAATAGCTCATTGACTTTTGTAAAATATAAACAGAAAAATTTATTTAAACACAATGTGTTCGGCACCCAGTAATAAAATCTCAACAAAATACTTACCATTTTTGATAAAGCTTATTAAAAAAAAAAAAAAAAAAAAGGAAACATCAAATCATCACAGCGTTTCTTCCAGCCCTCATAATAAACAATATTTTTGTAAGAAATTTCGATATAATATGTAGATGAACATGAAAAAAGTAAAAGGATAATAATGATGTGTAAGTCAAATAGCTGAAAAATATATCCCATCTGTTTTCTTCTCATTCTTAATAAATGAATCTTTATCAAAATTTTCCCATATGACCAAACATCCATACAAATGAAAAAGAGATTTTGTACATAGTAAGCTGCCCATCATATCCTTTACAAGAATTCTTCCACTTAAAATTAAGTAACAAGTTTGATCAAGATTATCCAACAAAACAAACGTTTTCAATCTGGCCTGTAATCTATTCCTCTCAAATGCAGAGGATAACAAAGAATCTCAAAGGATCAAAGATTTAACATGAGCTTAACATTATCCAAATAAACCGTAAATCAGAATGAACGTAGAGAAAGAGAAAACATAATTAGAGGAAGAAATGAGTAATAATAATAACATTATTTCATCTGATTGTGTATTTAATATGAGAAAAAAGGCAATAATATATATATTCAGATTAACTTAATAAATCGTATAATTCATTTACTCCTAACACTTTCTGAGTGAAGTGACTAAGTTAGGCTCATGTATAAATACAGTGTACTTACACATATCTAAACATATAAATAAATATCGCTATTTGAATGTAACCAGGCACTGTTCAAAACTATAAACATATCATAAATAATTGCAAGAAATTCCCAAAATATTTTAGTAATACATATTATATAACTTGCTGCGCACAAATTACTTTTTTCAGGGGACCGAATTGCCAATTACCGCGGTTGTTGGCGGTCCAACAATTATTTCTTGTCTGCCTAAAAAAATGACTTACTCATAACATCCAAGTCCAAGACATTATGCGGAACACAGAAAATTAATAAAACAGGCTGTAAGGATTGCAATCTGAACCATCAGTTATAAAGTTTAAAAATGTCTTACTTGATACGGAACCAGTTGGAGAAATTGCTGCGGATGATTGCTGTAACTGTGCACTTTCCTTCCTGTAGAATGCTTCTACTTCATCAAGCTCACGAGCAAATTCTGCTTCCAGTGCCTGTAACAAGTACATAAATTTGCAATATATTACCTTCAACCTCTTCAACTTTAATCCAACATAACATTTCGAGCTAAAAAAGCAATGCTTCCCGAGTCATGGCAGATCAATCACTAGCAAAAGTTCCGTCTTTCACTAAAATCATTTGCGATATTATTGACCAAAAGGCTTCATTATTCAAGGTATTAAGTTCTTGCTTTTCTTGAACTGTAAAAGTAAAACTTTTTTGCAAATCTATAATGATATTCAACAAAAAAGAAAAAACGAAAAACCTTCCATACCTGTTTTCTAATAGGTAAGCCAGCTTTCCAGTCAGCTATCACTTGTTCATATTCTTTCTCGTACATTTCCATTTTATTTTCCTCTGCTTCCAACAACATTTTACGTTTCTCACTCTGAATCAATACCAAGTTAATAAACAATGAGATGCTTAATTTATGATATGTCGGATTCTAGCTTCAAAACTAAAATATTGTATTATTTTCTCGTTATTGCAAATCGTTTTCTTGTAATGTAATCGGATTATCGATATTTTTACACATATAGAAACGGTACAAATATGTTTAAGAAATTTAGACATAAAAATAACAGTTATGAAAGCAAGTCATCTAGAAAAAAATTGAACTAACATGAATCTCTTCTAGTTCTCGTATAGCTGTTGCATTTTTCTCCTTCAGTTCTCTCAGTTTCCGAGCATATTTAGTGTCGTGCTCTTCCAATGCAATTCGTATACGTTGCTTTTCTTTCTCTTCAAACGCCCGTATCTTTTCATTTAGCGTTGTAGGATCATCCTTCTGAAGAGAGGTAAGATTTGAACCCAGATGAGAGATAAAAAAAAGAATTATATAAATCAAACATGAATATTTGCTACCTGACAAGAAATACGCAGACTCTCTTTGAACATAGCAATTCGTGTTTTGGATTCGGTACGGAAATCTTTAGGTAAACGTTTTTTGAAACTGGCATACAAGCGTACTTGCTCCTCTTCATCCATTTCATTTACACGACGCATATGATCCAACTCCTACAAGTATTAATGAATGTGAGCACGGAATCGGTAAGTGTTCAGATCATATGCTGCTATATCGTACTGTTATATCCTATAGTTTTGGAAAATAGCAATCAAAAATAAACATGAATGTTTAAACCATATAAAAGCGTACTATCATATATTTAAGCGCCAACTTACTCTTTGATGTCGAGCAAGCATTTGAGTTCTTTGTAGATAAAACCGGTCTTTTAACTCTTGCTTGTTGAGATGATGTCGTTCAGCCAGCTGCTTCTCTTCCAGATCCCACTCCGAAGCTTCACGTGATCTAAAGATAAAGTAATGAATTCTGAAAATATTTCAATTGCTATAAGCAAAAATAACCTCTGATAAAGTATAGCTAAAGATGGAACACATAATTTTGTGAACTTTTAAACAAGGCAAGCTTTCCCAAACATCTATACTAGAGAAAAGCATAAAACAAAGAAAAAAAATTTAACTCAAGTCAAGGATTAAACTTATTTGCATGCATTTAATCACAGTTGAGAAGATGAAAAACCTTAAAACGGCATGCTTTTGTTGTAGGAAATTCTTTTCAATTTGCAAAATCTTCATTTTATGATCCAGCTGGACACGAGCCATGCGTGCTGCTTGTTCGGATTGCTGTTCGGCAATAAAATTCATCTCCTAAAAAATAGTATTGCTTTCGATGAATCGCGAAAATAATTTGCTGTTTACACAACAATAATTTATGCTTATACAATATATTGAATAATGCTAACTCTGTTTTGTTGATCGCTATCTAGATGTTCCTTGCGCACACGATAGCAATCTTTACGTTGGCTTTTTGGGATTGTGTCCATTTCCATTTTCAGATCACGTTGTTCTTGTTTTAATTGCTCACGAAACATGCGCAATTCACGTTCCTAAAATGCAGTTGTAACTTATAATTTAAGCAATAAGCAGACAGGTGTCAGAAAATTTTCGAGAACCCACTGCACAGTCTTATCTAGTATCCTGTTGCAGCACCATCATACTTCACTAAATAATTAATTTCTGACAAATCGAAGTTTGAAATTCGGTTAGGTGCTTCATCTAATAAAGGAATCGAGATAAAAGTATTAATAAACTCTCCAAAGTCGTTTAAACAATAAACAGGACATATATATACATATACTCAAAGGTCAGTATATGCTTAAACAGAAATATTCATAAAAATTCGATTGTGATATAAATAAGAATAATAATAAGTATAAAGAAGATTAGCATCAACCTGATCACTCTGCATTCTCTTCAATGATTGTTTCATATCTTCATTATGTATTTCTTCACATTCTTTTAACTGCCTCTTCTGCGTTCTAGCCAAAATTTGTAACTCAATGTCCGTTTTCTTGTAGATATTCTGAAGCAAATAACATTTTCAACGACTGTTATAACTAATATAACTAATATGAGCAAATATATATCTAGTAGATCCAACATGCTAAAATAAACAAATTTTTTAAAGAAATTTTAAAATATTTCTCCAAACGAACTACTTACTTCTTTGTCGGCAGCAAAACGCTTTATTTGTTCGTTTCGCAATGCCTCGGCCTTTGCATTCAATTCACGTTGTTGACGTGCTTCCTCACGTTGCAGACGACGCAACTCATGAAGCTGTTGTTTCCTAGAAAGAATGAGATAAAGCATATAAGTGAACAAATTAAAATAAAAAAAAAAAAAAAACACATTATAGTTTCACAACAGAGAACACTTACCAGCAAAAATCAGATCACAAAAAACTAAAGCATCCCAATCTCTAATATCGGTTTGTAAGCGAAGTCTAACATACTAGAGCTACTCATTTGTCTCAATCACAAACCATTTATTCTCTTATTCTTCTCCTCTCATTACCACAGCCACAATTAGAGAATCTAATACAAAAGAATAATGAGATTAGAATCATAGCAATGATGATCAAAAATGTAAAATTGGAAGTATAACGATGAAAAAATAACAGCACAACTTAAATACACACTGACAAACATGCACAAAAACGAAAACGATATCGCGTATCATCATAAAACATAAAAAATTATTAAAGCTGAACAAAAATAAGAATAATATAAATTGGAAGACTGACCAGTCACCATACAGCGATATATAATAACGTGGGATGAGACTGTAAAAATTCCTCAAATGTTAGCGAATTTAAAGCTTCAAAACAAAATTCAAATATCCAGAAGTTGGAAAACGGATCCTAATTTTTTTTTAAATAAATGCAAGAAAATGCATCTTTATCTTTCTGTTATTCGAAATTCCTTGAGTGTTCCATAGTTTCTTATATAGAAATCAATTTATAACTGCTCAGTTTACTAAAATGACGTAAATCTTATCCAAATATAAAAAAATTTGAAAACCTTGTAAAGACTTGAAAACAAGAATTTAGAGAATTTGATTTTAAAAAATTTAAGATCTAACCTCAATTCATAGTCCTGCTTTACACCAAATACTTGATGCGATGTTGATGTCATCTGAACACCATCGACAACGTATATTCGAGTTTTCTTAGTTACAGTTTGACGATGCGGTGATCGTCGTGATCCAACCATTGACCCACCACTGTTTAGAACCTAGAAATGCAAAAAAAAAAAAAAAAAAAAAAAAAAAAAACAGTGTTTCCGAGAAACAATGATCCCAAGTTCTCTTCGTTTAAAAAATTTTCTCTTTAGAAAAATTTCCTTTCTAGAAAGTTCGATCTACTCTAGTTAAATTGTTATTACAAGCATTATATGATAACAAATTCAATATTATTAGTATCTTTTTGAGCGAGCTACGCATCAAAGGAAGTAAAGTTAAATGAGTGTCACTAAATCCGTAAATATCAATTCATAACACTTTTTCAAATACTTTTTATGAATATTTGTGAATCAGCGCTAATCTCGCTTTAACTCTCTAATCACATGCTACTGCGATTCACATTGAAAAAAAAAAAAAAAAGACTAATAGAAACAAAAAAAATTAGAAAAACTTACTTTGGTGCCATTCCCTATTGAATTTTTGACAGCTGACACTTTTTGTTGTGAATTTGACTTCTTGACATCATAGCTGCTACTTATATTATTTTCATAATAATCCACCGGCGGTTCCGGAGGTGGAATAGCTAATGCAGCCCGTGGTATCGGTTTTACCTGTTCAGACAGAACCGCTGTACCAGCCGATGCTACACCACCATTGGCAGCTTTGGTTGTCAAGAAACTGGAAGTATCATGCTGCAAAAAGAAAAAAATCCAGTAATGGTGGTGATGGTGAATTCAGTAATCCATTTTTATTAAAAAAAGTTATCACCATTATAAACGGAGTATCGCCATGACTTCCCTACGATTCTGATAGAGCATTAGCATTTAAAATTCTGCATAAGCAACTACATAATTAGCTGATAGTTTTAATGGTATTTATGATGGATTTACTCGTATTATATTAAACATTTTCCCAAGATTGTTGGGCTAAATTCAATATTAACGGATAAAAAAAAAAAAACGAAAAACATGAAATGACTTACCTCCCCGGATTTATTCTCATAATTATGCCGTTGAAAATGTTTACTAGAATTTGATGAACTTGATGATGCTGTTCCAAAATAATCATATTCGTGCTCCTATAATGAATTTTGTCTTTATCATTATCTAAATGTTTAAAATGTCCAGTGAAATCATAGTGAAATAGTCATAAGTTTAACTCTCTCTGATTTTCAAAATCAAGTGCTAATAAATCAACTGCTAAAAGCAGAATGTAACCACACCTGTTTGTGTTAAGTCTTTGGGATTTGCACTACAATTTTAAAAAAAAAGGAAAAAAAACATCTCCTTAGCGATAATAATTTATTAAAAAATTAAAAAAAAAAAGCATAATTTTATGAACGTAATGATCGCAAGAAAACTTAGTTTTCAAGATCGACTTCAATCAATATTTCAAAACTGCAAAAGACTAGAAGCATATTTTACCAGATGCATTTCGTTCCTTTTGTTACTTGTTGTAGGCGTAAGTTGGTGAAGACCTGGAACAGCGCCATTTTGATCTCCTGTATTATCTGTTTTCTGTCCAATTATGTTCTTCACAATCATATTATTTTGTCCTTGACTCCGCTCCCCAATTAATCGTTTACGGTTTTGATTCTGTAATTACTAACACTATATTGTTAGCACTTTTAAATGCAATTAAATATGAAAAAGCTATAGCAAATTTTGGATTACCTGATCCCTAATTAAATTCCAGTTTTGTCCCTGCCACTGAGCATGGTCAACAGCTTTTGTTGCAACAACAGCATTATGTCGTGAAAGTAATTGTGTTGGCCAAGGCGGTGATGAACCAGCACGAGAAGAAGATACAGTAACAGGCTTAATTTTGAATTCATTTACGAATGAAAAGTAAAAAAAAAACTCCATATTATTGAAGAGCTACGTGCAATACATAGAAAAAGTTTTATCAGAAGTATAAAAAGCTGATCAGATAAGGTAAAATGAAGAATATTTTATGCAGTCTTGCTTACTGTAAGCAACATTTCAATATCCAATATGTGTGCTTCTTTCATAATTTATAATACTTACTTTCCGAGCCCTCACTTGTTTATTATTGCTTTCCGGATAAGATAATGGTCGACGGATCTCAATAATCGTTTTCTCCATTCCTTTTTCACCCGTAAATGAGGCAGCAGTCTTATCAGACGGAATAGAAGGTTGCGTCATTCCAGTCTGAATCTTGATCTCAGCCTTAGGAAGAGAATCTGGTCGCACAGAATGCTGGTGTTTCAGTAGTTGCTTATTCTCCAGAAGAGGAGAACTCTGAAAAAGTAAGATTTTCATAATTTTAGATCCTTTGTTTTGCTTACTGAGAATTTGTTTTTAGTAAAAAATTTGAAAACGAAATAGAAAAGAAATTCTGAGATATACGAAACTGTACAAGGAATGAAATCGTGAAATCTTCTTAAAATGGGAGGAGCAATGCAGTCAATCCTAGTAATTTTCTTTGTATGACAAATCTATTCAAGAAGAAACGAATAAAAAGAATCTTAAGTAAACTAACTCAACCTTTTCGGATGTTGATTTTCCATAACAATAATAACTTCGATCATACAAATTATCAGTTTCTACTAATCTTTCGGCCTCATTCTGTCAAAGTAAGTACCATTTAAAAACATTGCAATGAATGCAAACCATAACAGAAATATTTGTGGACGCTCCATAAATAAGCAAATAATACGATTAATCCTTATGTGCAAATATAAAAATACCTTCAACACGGAATCAGGAATGTGGGTATAGATGGTTCGTGTTGCAGATGTATTTAACTGATCTGTTGACAGAGAAACACCCAGAGGTAATTTGCCTACCGGCTGATTAGCGCCTATCGCAGTAGAAGTTGTACCAACTTGTATTAAGTGACGAGAACGTGCCTGAAATTTGAAATGATTCCTTACATTAATATAATTTTGAGAAAGATAAAAGAAAAAGAGAAAAATCGAAGTCAGAGTAGCTTTCGTCAGCAAAGCTTCTGTCAAAAAAGTGAATTAAACTAAATAAACCAAGATTAACATGCTTTCTTTAATGTCCTCTGTGACGTTCTAACTCTCACACTTAACAAAACAAAAAAAAAAAAAAAAAAAGATTGAAAAAAATAGACCCCTTCAAGTGTCACTTTGCTGGACGAAATAACCTGTGGCTGTGACAAACATCGTTGTGTGGCGGTAGAATTCGAAGATTTATTACCAATCTAAAAATTGCAGTGATCTTAATTGAAATCAAACTTTTGGATAATCCAATTCTTCGAAATAAAGGTCAAACACCCACTCACTACAAAATGTTTTTTTATCATTCTAAAAACCGTAATTTCTTAACCATGATTTACTGCTGCTCCAAAATTTTTCGGCTTTCTGCTATTGTTCTTTCTGCTGGGCATAAAAAATTCTTTTCTGAGTCTTGGGAAGTTATCAAGACGCATTCTGAATAAGGATAAAACTTGCACAAATATAATTCCCTGTCGGAAAAGACTGAATTTCAAATAAGTAACCTTTAAAAGAGAATCAAAAGATTTGTATGATATTGCATCCTTTTTCTTCTCCATCTTTGAAACATTTGACTGCTGTTTAACATACTGCAAAAATTATCGCATATACCAGCTACCAGCAAAAATTCTCGAGAAATCCGAGGTAAAAAGAGGAAAAAGTGATTGTATAAATAACTCTGCGTGACCTATCAAATAGGCTCACTGATATTGCCGTACATCGATTTTATCGACTTAACAGAAGTTTTAAAATCCAAATATTTGGTGACCTTAGTTGAACTGTTAACAGTTTAAATAAAGCAGTAATAAATCAGTGCAACTAACATCATCCTGCTGTTCAGACGAGCGGAATTTTTCGGCTGGAACCAATTCTGGAAGAGTGATTTCGTTCTTTTTAAAAGCCTAAAAGGAGAAATGGAGCTAATTATGAAGAACAAAAGCATATACACTTGAGCACAGTATTGATACCAACCAAAGAAATTTCTATAACTGGACTAAGAGAAATAATTTATTGAAATCAATGAAGACATTTAGCGGAATATTTATGAAGTATTATCAATAAAGTGACATTTCGAAAGAAAGGCCAAGTCAATTTACAGTATGTTATTAAGGGACTTATGTATCTTAATTGAAACATTTTTTGCAGAAGTTAATCGTATGAACTTAGAAAGGTATTAAAATACTTAGTCCAATGATACAAATTATAATTTACTCTTTAAATTTAAAAAAAATTTTTAGTTTAAAATTATAATTTAAATTATAATTTAGTAACCGATTCTGTATGAATCCCAACAGGATAATTTTTGCCTAAGAAACAACAAGAACAAAGTGATTCTGCAGAGCATAAAAACAACTGCAAGGTATATAATCCGTGATAGAAACACATAATCAAAAACACATAGAAATAATAAGTTAAACATTCCACCTTTACTTCTAACTGTTGGCTGTCCTCAAGTTTTAATGTATGCACAAAATTAGCTTCCTGTACAGCGTTTGGCCGCTCCAATTTAACTTGAGCATTAGTTTCAACTGATTTCTTACTAAGTGAAGCATTTGATGTCGTTAAAACAGCTCCTGTATCGGTAATTTGAACCTGCATTTCAAAACCACCATTAAATTCCATTCCCCTAATCACTGAAAATTTCAGCCCTAATGAATGAAAAAATATAAATACCGTAGTAGGTCGCCCTACTAACTGAACGTTAAGCTGCTCTTCAGAAACAATATCACAAATTTGATGAGCTGGCTTTCGGCCATCCAGTTTGAATTCAATGCCTGAATAAAGGAATTCCTTAAATAACATTTAAATTGAACACTTTAATGAATAAATACATTTTTCGTAGTAGTAAAGTATTAACCTTCATCGTTCATTTCGTCTCTGGAAAGAACAATCAAACTCGGGTCTGCAGTATTTTCCATTTTACTGCTGACAGAAAAACCAGGTTTTGAGACTGATAATATCGGCACAGCCTGATCAAAACACTCGGATGGCAGAAAATCAGAAGTCGGTGATAAAGTTGGTACTGGAGATAAGTCATCTAGAACAAAAATTGAAGAATTTCAGGAACAAAAATAGGAAGTGTAGAAAAATCTCAAAAAAAAATGTAATAGCTGTAACATTTTTATTAAAGAACTGTTAACTGAGAAAAGAATAAAACATTGGGTGTGATTCCTTTCATTGTATGGACTTCACTATGATCAATATATGTTTCATTATAAATGTCAACGGCTATAAGAAAAAAGAAACACCCTTCAATGAATATAATTTCCAACATACCGTCTTCCCTATTTTCACAAAAAAGCTCTTCTTCCAAATTCAATGCTTTATCGAGGTCACTGAGGGCTATAACAGCTGCATGATGATGTCCATGTCCAGAGCTTTTGCAACTACCCGCACTACTCGGTCTTTCGAGAAACCTTGGTTTATCTTGGTCATCAGCATTTATTTCTACTATTGCTACCTAAAACAGAAAGAGCTAAATGAGTTTTTTTTTTCTTCAGATACAAGAATTACAGTTCGAATAGAAATATTAATAGCCCTGAAAAAAAAAACAAGCATACCACTACATAACATACCATGTTTTTCTCCTCCAAATTACCTCCACCCTCTGGTAAACTTGGTGCACGCTGTTTCTTTCCTGGTAATAAAGATGATAATAAGTTAGCATTTGCCACATCATTAGTTTCGATGCATACCGGACTTATTTGTGTTGTTGGTTCCAACTCGACAATAGTCGTTGATCCAGCATTCACTAATGTTGGTTTTGAGGTGAATGTTGTTACTTGAGGTGGTATCTTCTGTTCGGTGGCGGAAAGAACTGAGTGACGTTTTTGCTTACTGCTCACACTGCTCGAATCGTATGGTTGAGCCTGTAGAAGCGAAAAAAAAATATCCACAGAAATACAAAAAACTAATATCTTGAAAGTTTGACAACAATAATTCAAAAGACAACTTTGAAAGCCATATATTGCTCTAAGTCTTTACAATTTCTGACAGCAAAGCAAAAAAAAAAAAAATGTTAAACTCTTACTTCACTAACCGTCGTCATACTACTCACTGTAGCTGTATCATCATCATCATCATCATACAATACTTCATCATCACTGCCAACCACTACTTCAGTTGTTATTTGTTCAGCATTTACTTCGCTAATCAATGACCTTATACACTGAATTGATCCTGACTGCGCAAAAAATGGGTGCTGAAATAAAGTTCAGTTCGACACGAAAAGAAAATTTTATAGAATAACAAAGAAGACAAAGTTACAATATCAGTTAGAGAAATTATGGTTTATCAAAACCTAAATGTGACTTTTGAAAATGTATTGATCTCTTCAGCATTACTATCACAAAAATATTAACGCTGGATAATTGCCATATCAAACCCGTTCATTTCATTATTGTAAAAGATGCTAAAAGATAAAATAATGAGTAGAAATCTCAATAATTTATCAAAAACTTAACAAGCTGGCAGGAATCTCTATCATAAACAAATGAATTGAAAATTTGTTTCAAGATCTTCCATCTCCACTTTAAGCCAAAGTACTTCAGAAAATTTTTTCAAAATATTTCTATTGAAATAAAAGAAGTTACACTAACCATTAATACATCGGAAGCACTTGGTCTATTTTCCGGATCTTTTGTTAAACACTTTGTAACCACGGCTCGAAAATCAGAAGACCATAGATTGGGTCGCTCCAGCGAAGGAGGATCTGCTTTTATGACCTAAAAACATGAAAACTGCAGGAACTAATAATACCTTATCAATATTTTTAAAATCCTACAAATCTTACTCATCAAGTATTCCTTTTTTCTTCTCATCTTTCTCTTATTTCATTCATTAGTACTTCCAAAGAGAAAACGAGGAATTAAACACACCTTAAAAATAACTTTCGCAGGGTTCATTTCTGCATAAGGTGGTTTTTCTTCTGCCATTTCAATGAGAGTTATCCCGAAACTCCAAATATCTGCCAACTTATTGTAATGCTTTTCCGGAAATGTTTCGCATATCATCACTTCCGGAGCCATCCTGCATATAGAAGAAACACCATTTTTTATAACTAAAACACTTTACAAGCGAAAAAACCTTATCTGTCGAAGTCCAGTCATCTTCGCTGAAATCTTTTTTTTTTTTTTTTTTTTCAAAAAGGCGATGATAAGAAAGTATATTAGATAACTACCAGAAATACTAAACAAAATGAGGCAAATTAATTGTGGTGAGTCATGCTAAATATTAAAAGGCAGAAATGAATTAATTTAATCTTGAAATTTAATTTGATATGACACCATTTTTTTTAAATCACCGAACATTTCAATACATAGCATGATTAACTTTCAGCAAATAAATTAATTGACAAAAATATTTTTTGCAAAGTAGCACAATCAAAATAAATAACTATTTTATGCTTCACGTTATTCCATTTACCATTTTGCTTTGGAATCTTATTTTTCAAAAGTCTTAAAAAATCTTAAAACTGATTCACCAGCTGTGCCACTTTTAATTGTCTAACACATAATTCTTCTCATATATTACTGATTTCCCAAATATATAATTTAAAAAGTATGAACGATGACTAATTCCACAACAGTTGTGTGAAATAAAAGTTGGATAGAAATACAACGGCAACAGTGCAGCTTACCAATATGGTGTTCCAATGAATGTCGATCGTACTTCTCGACCATCTTTGCATAGTGCTGATACACCGAAATCGGCTACAATTAAGTTAAACTAAAGCAGTATATAAGTTCTTTTTACTTCCTCCAAAAACTAGATCAGACGCAGCTGAAATTATATCAGCGTTTACATCTACATCAGCAATTGCATTCACAGACTTTAACAGTAATCCTTACTTTCGTGAAAAGTATGAACTTTTTCGTCAACTATATATGTAACTAACAAGCATGGAATGTAGCTATTAACACTGACTTACTCTAATTTTGATGAACTACTGAAAAAAGACGACGAAAAAGTTACCTAATTTTACTCTCGCATCACTTGTCAACAATACATTGCCAGCTTTTAGATCTCGATGGATTACATTTTTGCCATGCAGAAAATTCAACGCCTTTAGGATCTCTTTCATGATGTAATGAATTTGTTGTTCACTAAGATGTCGTGAGAGCTCCATCATTATACTGTCCACTGCACCACCACCACAATATTCCAACAAAAGCTGCATTGAAAAGGAAATTGATTTCAAGAAATTTGTATAACTTTAGAAAAAAAAAAAAAACTAATGTATCAGAATTTCTATAGCGATTAAAACAAAATAGACAGTGTATTAAACGATTAAGCGGTCAATCTATACTAATCAATAATTGTACTAAACTATGTAACCCTTATTCAAATAATGACATTTAATTATTCGTATACAGAGTTTATAATGGCATGAAAATTAAAATTAGTTTTTTATAGTTTCGTAGAGTAACAACAAGTCATCTTCCGCTACTTCTAGTTCAAACAAATATCGAGTTTCGCTTTCATTAATTATTCTTGTAATATTGTAGTAACAGTAATGAAATATATGAATGTAAATAATAATTAGCTACCGTAATGCGATTACCCATAGTGAACGCATCATAAAGTTCGACAATATTTGGATGTTTACACTGAGTGAGGATTGAAACTTCAACCATCACATCCTGGCTTTCGTCATCCTCTAATTCCATAGCCTATAACAATTACACTTTTTAATTACATATAAAATATACGGATGGGAATAAAAAAAAAAAAAAAAATGTAAACGCATAAGAAGTTAACCTTTGCAGCGGCTACTGTTCCTGGCTTCAACTTTGATCGTGCCTTGTAAACATTTCCAAATGCACCATCACCGATCACTTCATCCAATATCCAGTAATCGCAAACGTCCGTTTCAATCCGGACAATATCAGGAATAACCTTATTCCCAGTACCAAAACCTGACTTTTGGCCATCACTATTAAAATTCGAACCAAGGATAAACTTTTTGAGCCGATTCACGATCGGCATGGCAAAATGAGCATTTGCTGGCTTGTCTAAAAAAAAAAAAAATCAAAGTAAATATAACAGCTTGTTTTCTTCATGGATCATGTATGTTTATATACATATATGCCAATGAAATATTTAAGTAGCCAAACCAAGATACATATAAGGCAATACCAAATCTATGTACTCATTCATTACGACTTTTTTGAAAGTAATCCCAGAAAATATAGAACGAGAGAAGGGAAAGTGAAATAAAATATAAAATTAAGAAACATAAAACTAATATTGATGGGATAATTCCAGAAAATAGTGCAACTGGCATCAACTAAAAAAGCAAACAAATTGTTGAATGGTCTAAACCTTCGTAACGATGTTAAAGAAAATGCAAATGTGAAAAAAAAAAGTTAGTAAATGAGATGCTTTTAAGAAGAGAGGAAATAGTAATAATAACATTTCCTCTTCACTGCTATTTATCACCTCAACAAATAAAGTGTGAATATTCATTCCTGATGCCTATCACATCTTTCAACTGAACATTACAAATCCTGTTCCATATGCATTTTTCAGACTGTTAGAAATGAAAATATTACAAAAAAAGTAACAATCTAGATTTTCCTTATTATACATCTAGAGTAACCTGGTAGCTTGCAAGGATTTAATATAAAAGTAAACAACGAGAGAACCAGTTATATTTCTGAGTATGTAAAGGTTTGCAATGCAATCGTTGTCGTAATCACTTATTGCAACATAATTACGTTAGTAACATCTAGTTGAATGTTTCTAAGCTCACTGATATGCTACACACAAAATAAATTTGCATATGCATCAATACTAACTTATATGAACTTAGACTATGGCGCAGAAGGAAGAAAATAATGTAAGAGAGAAAAACAATTTATGAATTAATTAATTGCTGCATACTTTCTGAAGTAATACTTAATAGAAGCCATAAGTTCTAGTGGTAAGTGAAAATTTTCATTAGGAACTATGCTTACTCATCTACTGATAATATGCACTAGTAGAGAATGTTCTTATTGATGTCCTTTTTATCACTCTTTGATAAAAATTATAAAAAGTATATCATTCATGCGCAACTTAAGAAAAAGAAAGCTCATTTCACTTATATTTACAATATGAAAATACAACATCTTTTATTTCATTTAAAAATATAAATTTACCTACAAGAATCCCAAAGAATCAGTCACAGATAGCAAAGAAGTATATGAAATAAGCTATGCAACATCTGTATAGTATTTTCTACAAATCAATAACTTAAATTATTCATCAAAACATTTCTAAATTGTAATTTTTTATGACTTAATGCATTTAAATGATTCGCTAAAAAAAACGGAAGTTAAGTAGATCATCAAGTTAACAAAGGACATTTTAAATTGAATTTAATACACCCACTGTGCTACTTTATTGAACTTTGATTCGTGTCAAATCATTTCACCCACTTTTTCCCTTTAATTTCCATTGTAAAAAATTTAAAAAGTAATTGAATATCTGAACCAACAGAAAAATTGCAAAAAAAGCCTCGATCTCTTTCATTAAGGATGATACAAGGAAAAATTTTGTAAATTTAGAGCACTTAATTTTTAGTCTTATACGAGTGTATGAGGAAAAGTTCATGTAGAAAAGTACATCTCTTCTCATATATCAAAAAATTTATGCTTATAGACCATTTTTTTTTAAAAAAAAAAAGAAAAGAACGAAAAAAGAAAAGCGTATATAGAGCAAAAGAAAAAAAAAAAAGAAACTTTCTGAGATATGAGAATTAAAGTTCAAATTTTCACTGTAGAAATGTCAGCGATCCTTCATTGTTACACCTTGAACTATGGTCTATAAATGACCAAATTTAACACATTGAAACAGCAATATGAAGAGAAATACGAAGAAATTAATTCAACTCTCGAAATCTTTTCTCTCCTAATGTTATATATTTCAAAGTCAGATTACTGAAGAAAATATTGATGATATGTTTCTGGGACTAACACTATTACAATAACAGATACAAATAATTTAAATACAAAATAATTTCTAAAAGTCTGATATAAAGAGCAAAAATATTTCATGGATTAGGTAACATAGCAATATAATAACACTATCAATATTCTAAGAAATGGGTATTTTAAAATAAGACTATAAAATAATGCAGCGATATCAGTGAAAAAGTGAACCATATAAAAATACTAATAATAGCAGAGAAATAATATGATGTAAATAAGTCAATACAACAAATAAACAAGATATGTGAAAGATTTAGGCTAACATAAAAGTCTACTTCATTTAAAATTACAGCAAAAAAAAGTTAATATATAGAAGTTTAAATGTTACTTCTAAATAATCCTTTTTAATTGCATTTATTGAAGAAAGCAAATATGACTGAATCAAAAAAAAAAAGAGAAAAAAAGTTTCATCAAATTATGAAAATCATGGTGAAAAAAAAGCACAAAACATGCAAAGTGTAAAAGTTGATAAATACTATACAGTAGAATAAATCACATATCGCTTCAAATCGTAGCATCCTTTGCTATTAAAATAAAGCATATAAGTTGAAAATTTAGAAAGTTTTTTAGCAATACATTCTTACGTAAGGTTATTTCGAAGAAATCCTAACTCACGTATTCACTCACGCAAGTCTCCCTCACTTCTTTCATACGCTTAATGCATCACTTCATTGACTCATCATAAAAGTTAACGGTCGAGTCACACTTTGTCATACGTATGGGCCGGACCATGTCATAAAAATTATATTAAGAATGTACGTATGACATAATTTCACGTTTCATATTTTATCTATATGATACCCTGAGTTTCAATTAAGGTTAATAACTTTAGACTCTAAGTCATAGTAAAGTGAGAAAAGCTTATACGTGAAAAAAGTGTACCTATAGATTTTTAGACCGGGCCTGCTTTTATCATTTGCTACGTAATAATTAAGTCATTGGTAGTTAAGTATTATTGTGATTATTTATATTGTACCTAATTTGTTAATTAGTTTTTGGGTACAATTGTTAGAACCATCTAAATTTACTGATTAATTTTAAATAGTCCATATTTGAAATTATACGATGCGATCTTAATATCTTAATTAATTCTTTACTGCTTTGCTGCATGTTCATACTGAAGCGATGCCTGTCACTGATAATACTAAGAAGATTATCAGGGATTGCAGATTGAATGACATTGAGTCAGTTAATATATATAATATATTGGTAATCATAAAAAAAATAGTGTGTGCAAGTCAAATTTTTTTTTAATGAGTCAAGAAAAAAGATTTACTTTGCGTAGAATTCACATCTTAAGTTGCTGTTTTTGCATGTGATATTTTTTAATCTACAGGATGAATGTTAACTACGGTGGAGGTAGAAGACGTGCGGTGAGTCGGCAAACGGCTGAAGAACAAGTACTTGACCGGATTTCGCGGAATGTAAGCGCTTCTTAAACTGTATACTCGACCATAATTGTCGCGCCATTATGTTAAAATTGATGATCTGGAGAACGAATTGTTAAAAAAGATTTAAATTCTTACTGCATTCAACACTGATTATGTAAATTTCAGGTTCCCCAGCGACTCTTAATGGGACTTAGATTTCTCCAGTAAAATCTAATATTAAAATTTTAATGAGGCGTTCCCTGTCATTCATTCCTCACGTTACTAGATGTAATTATTATTTAGGAAAAGACTTTGGTTTTTTGTTATTTAATCAGTTTTCAACAAGGATAACCTTATCGCTCTAGTCTTTTCGAGTCTACGAAAATGAGAACACTGTAAATATTATGATTGTTGGCTTTAAATCCATTATGAGGTTAATTTAATAAAAATAAAAAATTTTGAAGGCAGAAGAACGGTTGACTCGTAAAAGACAGGCTCGTGAAGAAGCGCGACAGATACGTTTAGAGCAACTCGAAAAACAGTATCGAGAGGTAACACCATATTTCACTCATTATTATCATTTGTTACTATAAATATTTGTGTTATTATCATGATTATTACTATCACTACCATTATTACTTGTTTATGCTTTTGACGTTTTGTCGTTAATCGACCTGGTTAAAAGCTGTGAAACAGCAAAATAATTGCGAAGGAATGATTAAAGAGGAAAAGATTTGGAAAAAATAATCAAAAACTGGTAGTAAAGTTAGAAAGATGATTAAAAATAAAGTTACTTTGACCTGTTTTACTTCAACGTACTGTTGTAGTCCCATCTCATCTCAGAAATGAAAATAAAGAGGGGAAAAGCGAGGTATGGTTGGTTTTTCATCGTTAAATTTTTAGATTGGAATACATTTTATTTGAAAAAATTAAATTGATAACAACCTTTTATTGCTTGTGTTAAATATACAACAGTAAGTTTTTCTGAAACTAGTTTCTGAATACTTTCTCAGAGCAGAAAAGAGTAGAGCTAGTGTACTCTTACTACTACAGCAGTTCCCATTGTCACTGTATTGGTTGTTTCCAAAACATAAAAATTTGATGCGACATATACTGTCTGCTACATTTATTAATTTTGCTATGAAAATTGGTTATCAAAAACGTCAGCGGCATTGTCATGAGAAATCTTTGATAATTTTACCAGTTTCCACATAACCTTATCTTCCATCCTGCGTTTACTGTATGCCATTAAAAAAGTATTCGTATGTAGGCAAGATCTTTAATTCATGAATTGCTTTAGCTCTCGACTGATAATTGTGCACTTGTCAGAAGAAAAATCTACAAAATTTTCTTATTTTAAATACAGAACATAACTATTATCATTTAAATATAATCGAAACTTCTTAGATTTTCAACATTTATAACAAAACTGAAATGATGTTAAGTTTTGAACAATTGTTGAGATGAAAGGAGACAATAATAATAGTTGGAAATCTCATCGGTGTGTTCTGTTACTATATTTGGTATTCATTTTATAGGCTGAAACAGATGGTTGCAAAGGTGATGAAGAAGGCATAGTAAGTTTTTTCTCTATTTCAAAATTTCTTTTGGGGTATTTATCTTCATGTTTTCTCTGCTTATTTCT